ACTCTTACACAGCCGGGTGAGACGATTTGAAAACAAAGAAGAAGTGTAAGAAATACGTCTAGAAGGTGAAAAAAGCTTAAAACGTGTTTCAACGGTTCGGACAAAGATCAGTTTTTACCTATGACATATATTTAGCTTTTTTGACCAATCTATAAGCACTTTTATTTTCTTCAGGTCACTTTTCCTGCTACCGCTTTTTTTTAAACGTCGCGAAAAAATCTCCTCTTTATGGCGCAATAGTCTACAGTGCCGCTTCTTAAAATGACGTGAAAACAAAAATAGAAAACAGCTAGCGGTTTTATATTACCTTTCGTTGTTTCATATTCAACCGCTGTGTCTGTTATTCCGCAAGTGCTGAGACAGAACGCCAAAAAGAAAAGACGAACGGGGAAAAAGTAGGGCTGAAAACTACGGAGAGGAAGGAAAATCACGCTTGGGCAGTGACAGAGACGATCCTACGTTCAACTGATAAATTGTGAGGGATACTGAGATAGGTGCTACTGAAACCTTAAAAGCGGTGCATAGAGAAATTTTTAGTTCATCCATTGGTGTCTAAACAGAGACACATTATTTTATGCTTAGATACTATAAAATTGTCTAACCAATTAAAAGAAATAGCAAAAAAAATCAAGTAAATTTACGAGAAGCAATAAAGTAAAGCAGGAGAACAGTGCCACCAGCAAAAGAAGCTACGTTTGGAGTTCAAAAATGGTCGCTTGTTATTAGTGTGATTAGAGGCTGCTGAAACCGGTCGAAAACTTCGTATCATTGTCTTTCTGCACTTTACCTTTTCCCATTTTAAGTAAGAAGAATGATGCAAGCAGATAGTTAGTTTAAGAAAACCCGATTTTCTTAGGTTTTCTCTTGTTTCTTTACTTTAAGTGCTAACCGAGTGTAATAGCAAAATCTTTACTTTAAATTTGTTTAAATAACTTCGACCTAAAATATCAGAGTTTCAAAAAACGCTTTTAAAAATTTATTAAATATATCCTTAACGGTCTGACATTTTTACTTTATTTCACTAAGCATTAGCTTCAGTGGTTACTATCTTCTACATCTGTTTCACGTTATCGATAGCTGAAAACTATTAAACCAAAAATTTTTGCTGTGAGAGAAATAAGCACGTTTTTTGAAAGTTGAAAAGCACATTCGCTGCCGTCAGTCGATGACAGCATTCATCTTGATACCCCTCTGATTCGACTAAACAGCAAACCTCGTAAAATAAAGTATACAAAAAGAATTAGAAAAAATTATAAATTTTTAAAAATTATTATAAGAAAAATTATAGAAATGAGGGAATTGTCTACACTTTTGTAACGGTTGAAGTAAAAAAGCAAAAAACATCGCAAAAAAGTAGAAGTAGGAAGTGATATTATCGATTGTGATACAAATTAACAATGTTTATTTTTGTACAGTCTTTTATGACAGCTGTCAAAAGGTCAAGAAAACTGAACGACGAAATCAGCAGCAAAAAAAAATCTTTTTGATTCTCTCCTCACTTTCCAACTCTCAAAAATGACACGTAACATATATTATAACAGGATTTAGAGTATCATAATCAACACAAAAGAATTGACTAACAACACCATAAAGTACTGATGCTTCTTAAAATTTCAAGCCAAAGGACAGCTGTTTGAATAAATGAAAAAGTTGAAGCATATTACCTACCACTTTCTAACCCTTTTCATTCTTTTTTAGATTCCAGACTTCTAGCGCTTTTATACTGTTAGTATTTTATCAAAAGAAGATAGGTAAAACTATTCAGTAAAGAGTAAAATTGAAAAACTGATGTGGAAATGATGCCGAAAATGGTGGAATAAAGATTTCATTATGTTGTTTTTTTTTTTTTTT